TGGTTCTATATTCTTTACAATGCCTCTTCAGTCAGACATCCTCCGTGAAGTGTGGGCATCTGAAGGGTAAGTCTATGTATATTCTCCTTAAGAAAGGATAAACTACCTTTGGCATGACATTGGCAAGCTAAGATTGGAAGTGAAAACGTATGTTATCAGGTCTTTCAGCGCTGCCTCCAGTTTTGGAATGCCGTAAGACTTAGACAAGCCAGCTTCAATTGACTCACCATCTCTGGGTGAATTTTCTCTTCATCTTTATGACTACTATAAATTTGCTTATGCCCTTCCTCTAGAAGGAAAGGGACAAGGAAAGGGAAAAATCTGTCTTATTGTTGCTTGTATGCTCAGGAAGGAAAGTAAATAATCAGAGCCAATTGGGGGGCGGGGCAGTAATCAAGCTGGCCAGTAAGTCTTAAAGAGTATTGATGTTTCCTGGATCTGAAGTCCTTCTCAACATGTCCTTTCTCGTGATTAAAATAATAGGAAGCTCTTAAGGGTGCATTTATGAAAATGTTTATGGAGATTCTCAGTCTGGGGGTTTTTTCTTGAAGACATTTCACTTCTCATCCAAGTGAACTTCAGCTCTTAGATGAGAAACAAAATGTCTTCCAAGAAAAAACCAGTCCAGTTGTTGCCTCTTGGAAAAGCACATTTGGGACTATGAAAGTGATTTTCAACATTATCAATTGTATCATATTTGCAACAAATAATATCTTGACTCCAAATGGTTCTTCTAGTACAAAATAAGCAAAGGGAGTTAAGTGAGAGAAATGAGTGAAAGATTAGTTTAGTTTTCCAGTCTCTAAGCTGAAAGTTCGCTCTCTCACATCAATCATTTAAACAGCCTTACCTCAGAACTATTTCCTAAACAAGCAGCTTGACCCGACTGAAGGATTTCTCTACTTTTATCTCCCATTGACAACAGCAAAGATCAATGGTGGTACAATTTCATTCAATGTTGTCAGCACTTAAATAAATACATTGTTAAGAAAAATTAAATTATCTGAGAAGATTTGGCTGTCTTGTGCTGTTTTGCTCCTACTTTAAAAAATGAGAACTTGATTTGTTTTAAATTAGATCCTTGGATGTCGTGAGCTACAGGGAGCCAAAGAGGGGTTAGAATGGCATGCATTTGTCAGTACTTAAAGATCACTTCACTTATCTAGTAATTAAACTTCCATATACTCAAGGGAGAGAAAAAACAACAACTTCAGGCCAGATTGATATGTACACAGTTTTAAAGCTACTGGTTTACTCCAGCCATGGCAAACTAAGATAGTTTGGCCTATTGTAAAGAGGCAGGTTTCACATTGTGTTAGGCCCATGATCCATGCTTCAAAATATTTTTGAATATCAGTCTTATCATTTTTTGCTGACAGACAGGGATGGGAATTGTATATTAATATATCTCAGGGGTACCTAGAAAGGCTTGATTAAAACAGAAGAAATCCCTCCCTGGTTATGAGATTACTTGTTGGATTCCCATCTCTATTCTGAATTCACCAAATTAGTGTTTCTCAGTTTGCACCCATTTGCAATATGGAATTATTCTTGCCAGTTTGATATTATTGTAAGTTTCTATTGGATGCAAATTTCTCTGGACCATTCAAATGCATTTCATAAATGCTAGAGAAAACTGTGCTGACATAGGTTTTACCACCTAGAAAACTATAGCTTTTCTAATATTTGTCGCAGTAAACAAGATGTCCTGAGTTCTAATTATTGTAATTTTGGGTCTCAAATATACATATACTGACCACTACTTAACATGGCATTCTCATAAATATCTTTTATTTATGAGAATGCCATATAAGACAGTCCAGGCTAAGAAACCGGAGTTATATAGGTCAGAAGTACTTTTATTGTAACAACTAAGTCTGGTGGCTTTTCCTCCCCCCCACCCACCTTTATCTTTATGTGAACTAGGGCGGGGATTGTCTAAGATGTTTTCTCACCTTACTTTCTTGGCCTGAGTTGAAGCCCCATTGCCTTAATAGCAGCTCTTCCTCCTCACCTTCAAGGCCATTTCCTTTCTTCTACTTCTTACAATGTAATGATATAAACCATTCTTCTGGTATCTGGCTCCTGTTGTGACTATGATTCTTCGATAGGATTGGCCATCAATGAGTTGCAACAGCTTGTTTATATCCTGTCCTTTCTGCTGCAAAAGAACCATTCAGGGCAACTTAAATATTATTTAAATTATCTTTCATAGAGCAGCGATGTAAGATAATCCACAAAGAGACTGCCAGGATCAGTTATTAAACATAAAATCAAATCAGAGAGTTGGACACATATCCCTGACAGAGGGCTGACTACCCACTCTTTGCCTGCATAAATTCAGGAAAGAGGATCCCACATGTTTCTGGGTTATCAGCTCAACAGTGAAACTCCTTTTATTGGTAGGTTTCCACCCCCGCCCTGAATATTCATTCCAAAACTGCCATCAGGTTATTCAAATCCATTAGTCCTTGTATAGTATCCTTCAATAAAGTAGTACAGTCTTAATTGTATTTAGGGAAGCTAACTTTAAAAAATAAAACACAAAGCCTGGATCCAAGACAATTTCTGGGCTTACACATTGCATTAAGTCATAGTTTGTTCGGAAAGTAACTAATACTGACAAGTGAACTTGTCTCTTGGGTAGAAGATTGCAAAGTTGGAATAAGATAGCCAAGAGGTTTTTACCCCACCAAAAATATTTCTTATTGTTATAGTATACCGATCAAGGCTTCTAAGGAAGAACAGACTAGGTAAGAGTGATCTGTATAGCCAACAGATGGCCAACAGATGGCAACAAAGAGCACCAGTCATTTGCAATCCAGAAAAAGTCTGTCTGGATGAAAGTAATGTTTCAGGTATCGCATCCAAACTGTGTAAGGTTATCAGCAATATACAATACTTCAGGTGTCTTGTATAAAAATAATGCTAGATAGAGTTGATCAGACATGGAAGGTTCAGTCCAACATTTAAAGAGGGAGGAAATATCAGTGTCCAGCATCAACTTATTCATTCTGGCACACCTTACATCAAGGATGAAGAACATGGATTGGAATCAGTGTCATAGAAGGAGAGAAGAACTAAGAAGTATGGTACAAATGTAACAAAATGAAGAATTATTGATTCCATATGCAAGGGTCTCCAAACTTGGCAAGTTTAAGACTTGTGGACTTCAACTCCCAGAATTCCTGAGCTAACCTGACTGGAGGAGGAATTCTGGGAGTTGAAGTCCACAAGTCTTAAAGCTGTTAAGTTTGAAGACCCCTGGTCTATAGTTTTACCTGCTAGCAACAAAATGTCCCTTTGCATGACTGCATGAACAGTATGTGTACTGTATTACTAATGTCTGCACTGCCATCTGCTGGCACATTTAGGTTCACCTTTAATCTTCATGTTTTTTATATATATACAGTATATAAAGCAGGGGTCTCAAACTTGCGGCCCGCGGGCCAATTGCGGCCCGCAGGACGATATCCTGTGGCCCCCACCGTGATATGAAAGTATAATATTAGTGCGGCCCGCAGGGGGAATGGACCTCTGAAGGAAGTCCCGCCCGCCGTTCCTCGTCGTGGCTTCTTCTCCACCCTGAACTTTACAAGTCCAAGTACAGGTCCAGACTTACTGATGATCATCTTCAAGCCATACTGAGGGTCTCAAGTGCCTCCTCTCTCAAGCCAAATGTGGCTCAGATATGTGAGAGGAAGCGTTGTCAAGTCTCTGGCAGCAAGGAGTAAGCTGGAGAAGCCATGTTCTGAGGAACTGTTCATGATCTTCATTTAATGTTCCATTCATGTGTTCAGGACAGTTCATGTATTGGAGAAATCATTAACTGTTGATGACATTTGAGGATATTTTTTTAACAACGTTTTTTGTGGAATCCCTTATGCGGCCCAGCCTCACCCAGACTCTGCCTCCAGCGGCCCCCAGGTAAATTAAGTTTGAGACCCCTGATATAAAGGGACATCAACTATAGGAATCAAATTGACTTCTATTTCACGGAGGGTGCGAGCCATAAACATTTTTGTTCCATAAACATTTCAGCTTCCAGTTTAACGTAGACCTTCCCAATTCCTCATGGTGTTTTCTTTATTCCCCCTTCATTAGTGCAAATGAGGAATCTGCACCTCAGAAACTTAATAAACAGGTAAGAGACATCTTCTTATCCAACCTTTAGTTTGATTGTTCACATATGCCTCACACATCAATATGCCTGTACACAGTTTTGAATTTCTCTGCTTACACATTGTATGGCTCCTGAGATTTGAATGTTAATTTTCACACCTATGAATTATCATGTCTTACAATGTCATTCAATCATCACAGTGACTGGATACCTTGGTACATCATTAGTGTTGAAATGGCCAATAACTATCCTGATCATTATTTTTTGCATTTCAATCCCACCCTTCCTTCAACAGGCACTTGCATAAGGTTGTTCCATAATTCACAGCTTTATGCTGAGATCACTGTCCTTCTCATGTACACACATATTTTTTTTATGCCTAGGTGGGCACCATTCCCACAGTTAATCCCTGTTTGTTATCCCACATTATTGCAACATCTAGCCTTAATTAGATAAGCTACCTTCTGTCTCCCTGCATAGACATAAGGTTGAGACTGCTAATGTGAACAAATTAATTTCATAAAAGAAGATTGTAGGCATCATTCACATCACCAACTCCTTATTTGCAGACTCTGCACTAGCACAATTTTTCAAGCATATTTCTCAACCGCATGACCTGCATTTGATCAGTCACAATTAATTATAGTTTATGACTAATGGGATTGACTGTAAGGTAATCTTGATCCATCTGCTTCCTCTGTGAAGTCTTTCTGAGTGACCTCAATCTCAGAGGAACTGTGTTGTGGTGTTTGAGAGCATCTTGTATAGTCTCACAATCCCCTTTAACACATAATGGAGCAACAACCCTGCAGTGACCCACCTAAAGGGCACAATCAATGTAAACTTTTGAAAGCTTCACATCTCTTCAAAAGGTAAAATGCTACAAAAAGAAGATGAAGGTGGGTGGGATAGAGATTTTGACCTTGAAACCATAAAGCTTGTGTCATCAAAGTCTGTGATGTTTCAGATTCTAGATTTGTGGTGCAATAGTTATTCCCTATTTTTAAAATTATACAATCCATTAGTACCAAATCCTCTCTCCATCTTTCAGTGAAACAGAGTCCTAATCTCCCACATTTATCTGAACTCCTGTATTATGTCCAGTATAATCATAAACAGTCTTTGATACTGTTTAGTAAGTGCAGCCAGTGGTTCAGATCAACCAAATCTCTGTGTGTGAGTGAGTGAATGAATGTGTGTATTCATATCTGATCATACATATGCTGAGCCTTATGCCATTACCATTGTGTAATAAAGAAAGGTATATGGGTGGAAAGTGGTGTCTTCTACCTCCACCCCTTGTTATGTCATTTAATAGTGGGTGAGCATGGTGATTATTTCTGCTTCCTTGTATTTGAAAAGAACCTGTATGTTGGAGAGAGAGAGAGAGGGAGAGGGAGAGAGGGAGAGAGGGAGAGGGAGAGAGAGAGAGGGAGAGGGAGAGAGGGAGAGGGAGAGGGAGAGAGAGAGGGAGGGAGGGAGAGAGGGAGAGGGAAACAGACAGAGAGAGACGGAGAGAGACAGACATAAACTAGAGATAAGCAATTAACAATAGGTGAACAATTCCCCAATTCCCACCATCTTATCCAAGCCCATTTTTGGTTTCTCCCTAAATCATACCAGCAACATTCTTAATTCAGCAGCAAACCACAAGACATAGTGGTGCAACCTTTCCTTCTTCCCTCTGATTAAAGACAATCAGCCAGCAATCTTCATTGAATGGTTTTACCCAATAACCTTCCCAACCTCCAAAAAATTGAAGTCCTGTGTTATGTCTCACCTGTATCCACAGGTGAGCAATCAAAATACTAAAGTTTCAAAAAATATAAGCAACCAAAAACAAACCCCAACAAAGATAACGGCTGAGGTTTTTCCAATTCTCAGCAGTAGTTCTGAAATCTGTTTGGCAATCCTGAAGTGCCTATAAATCACAATGCCTCAGATAATCTTCACAGTACTTTCGCTCTAACAAGACACTTTGCTTCTGGCAAATTTTTCAAGCCAATCCGTTTCCTTTTATCCCCTAAGGGGGCGTGTTAGTCTCATTAATTAATCATTGGCTTGACGCCTCTTTCCCAATTGAGATTGATGTCTCAATCTCCGTCTATTTCTCACATCAAGCCAGGATCCCTCAAAGTCCTCCTCCTCGCCTGAAACCTCTCGCAAGTTTTCCTGATTATCTGCCACCGGCTGCTGCGTAATCAGAGAGGGAGACTCGGGGGAGGTAGAAGACTCCGACACCTCCAATAAATTAGGTTAGTCTCTCATAGCTAAGTCCACTTCCTCATCCTGGCTACCCTCAAAATCACTCAACAATGCAGGCTCAAATCTCACTGCCAGATCCTCTTCACTCGAGCTCACATCTGCCAAACGACCAGATTCAAATCCCGGAGTCACAACATCCTGTATCAAGTCTGGTAGAACTGCAGTACCCCATATCTCCAAAATATCCAAATCCAGCCCAAAAAGGTGCTTTCCCACTTTAATTTTAAAATTGCACATAATGGCTTGGAAAACCCACAAATTAGATATGCAACTACATAACACAACATTACCTGCATGCTTTCTTATTTATCGAGGACCTTGTAAACCTGTCCTTATCTAAAAGTCTTGCTTTTCTATTGTTTGCAAATACTCAAGTTGAGTAGCCCCATCATTTGAAAGCAAAAGTGATGTAACTGCTTTAACCTTGTCCTATAAAGAAATGCACATTGTCTTCTCACAACAGACATAATAATGGGTTGCTGTACCTGGAGTCCTTCCATAGCCACTTTCATGAAGAAATAATGTTTCAGGAGTTGTGTCTCACATCACAGCATAACTTTGCAAACTCTGCAGTCATATTTAAAACAATTTGTTTCCTCATGTGAATTCTTTTTTGAACACATCACTATTTCATAAACAAACAAACAAACACATAGGAATCAATAACTTTCACTGCTTAAGTCTTCTTATATCTGACAGTTCCAATATTGTAGCTACAAAGCAATAAAAAAAGCTGAGGAATATTCCCAAATTTGTACTGGCTTGTTGAAAAGGATCTCACTGCAATTGGAGAGAAATAACATCTGGTCTTGCCATGACATAAGCAAATGAAGGCATTGTGTTTTCTCTAATATCTAGGCTGAGTTGCAATGTTCTGCCTCCCTGCTAGTGATATTACTTGACCAACTTAATAAACAACTTATTTTTTCTTTCTTTCTTTGCTATCAATTGGAACTCTGACTGGTAAGTTGTATTAAAGATCAACGCTGTCTTTAAACTTTGGTTATGGAATGGAATTTTATTGTCTTCATTTGTTTTTAAATCAGTGACTCTAATAATGAGATTATGTTGCATGAACACTGCCAGTTAAATTCAAGCAAGCATGATGGTGTTGAAAATGGTAGCAATAAATTAAGATTTCTTACCACCTTATTTTCATATAAGTACTCTCTAGATCTCACAAAAGATGCACAAAACTGCAGCTTAAAGCAAAGTCAGATTTCTCGCTGTTGTAATAAACATTGCCTAGAAAAATGTTACAAATTTTATTACTGTACTGTATATCAAATGCTCACGTCCCCTGACAATGAAGAAAAGGTGTTATCCTACTTACATGTCAAAGATATCATCTCAGTCCTCGTTGGTGCTATTTAATGATCCTTAATAAAAGTTGTCCATCAAATAATTGCAAAGTATTTTTGCCATATCTGGGACAAATCATTCCTACTTTTCTGTGCTACATTTCAGATCTTTATTTCAGCGTGCTGAGGTAATGGAGATAATTTACAAATACAACCCCTTCAACTAATTTTGCCTTGGCTTCCAATACTTGGACTGAGACATTGAGCTTCTTATCAAAAGGGGAGACATGATAGCAATGTTCCAATATTTGAGGGGCTACCACAGAGAGGAAGGGATCAAACTGTTTTCTAAATCTAAAGCACCCGAAGGCCAGACAAGGAATGATTCAACCTGGAAATAAGGAGACAGTTTCTGACAGTGAGAGCAATTAACCAATGGAACAGAAGTTGCCTTCAGAAGTTGTGGGAGCTTCCTCACTGGAAGCTTTCCAGAAGAGACTGCACTGCCATCTGTCAGAAATGGCATAGGATCTGCTTGGGTGGAGGATTGGACTCACTAGATGACTTACAAAGTCCTTTCCAACTCTTTTAATCTGTAATCTATATTCATGTATGTATTCTTTTGTGCTGGGTGGATTTTACTTCAAGGATACATACTGAGTTTCCACAAAACTACCTTTCTGTTATACAACTTTATGGAAGTCAGGTTATCAAACACAATTGTTGAGATCACATCATAAATTATGCCCAAACCAACCAACAAAAGAAACCACATTATGAGTTAATATGATGTCTTGGTTCACAGACCATATTAACACAATGGCTGAGATCCTATATGAATCAAATCCATTTTAATGTACTGAAGTTTAAGAATACGAGGCAAATCTACCCAATAAGTAGCAATTCTTAGCAGAAGTAATGGAGAAATAGAGCAGGTAACTACAATACATTGTGTAATCTTAAGATTTTCACACAAAACTACCTGGCAAATTGCTGTATACAGTACCATATCATTACATACACGTATTTTGCACAATATATCTGAGGAATGATACATATTCATTAGTTTATGGCAAAATTCCAGCTGATACAATGAGACTAAATATAACTCATATTACTTATTATGACTTACTATGAAACTGAATAAGACAGTTTCTCCATAGGTTTCATTAGCCATCAAAGTAGGACTAGCCATTGTGCAGCCCAAAATAATTGAAGGCTCATTAAAGATGGGTGGAGTTGGCTCTGTCTTATTCATCACTGTTCATAACAGGATGGTTTCATTAGGTGTAGCTCAGCTATCAAAAATCTGGATGACCACTAGATGGTAGCAAAGAGGTGCCTGAAGACTTAATTGATTTAATTGCTGCAGCTAGTCACAGCCCTATTGTCACCACATTTTCTTTTTGTTTTTTAATTGAAAATGAATGAAACCCAATATCATTTGGGGTTATAACACATTATTCGATCATTTAAATTTTAAAAACTTTTAACTTGAGTTGAAAGTAATTATTATTAGCATTGCTTGAATTATCTTTCTTCTGATTTTTATTTGCTGTTGCTTCCCATCCTCTCCTTTCCTTCCTCTTTTTTTCTTCTTCTTTAAATTTCTAAACTTGTTGGTTAGGAAGAAAACCATGATAATGTGATTATGTTTTGAAAAACCAGTAACTATATTTTTAAAAAATCTTTTTCGCCAACTCATAATTTTAGAAGCTTCAACCCTGGGCTTTTAACTTGTGGGATTGGCAGTAGTATATTGGTTTTATGTATTGGCTGCTTTGTTTATTTTGTAATATGCCCATGACTGCAAACCTCTCTGAAATTACTCATTTACTTCTCCTCCTGGTATTTTGCACTTGTAAGTAGGCCTGAGTTATGGTATCTTTTCACACTGTGCGGTCATAAAAGACTGGTTTATTCTTAGGTTTTGATTCAGAGCCATCCCTCACATCTCCCTTCTTTTTTCAGGCAACCAGTATGGGTTGCATTTGTGTGACACAAATGGACACATAGTAACAAATGCACAAGCATTCAGCACATGCCACTATATATGTTCTCATCAGCGCAGCTCAAAAACTACAGTTCAGATTCCGTAAATCAGCAATTTATAAATTCTGTTCTCAGGATAAATTTAACATTCATTTTGCTTTTTGTGACCAATATAATTATACTCAGGCATTTATTAATATTAAAGGCTAGATAAATACCTTGAAAGCAGAAAAGTTGGGATACATAGGTAACTGGAGGAAAACTGTCACTACAAGGCAAGATTTATACAATCTTTTCAGATTTTTAACTTTTGGTGGAATGAATGAA